TTTTGGGCCCTTGAACCTGTGAAGTGTGTTACAAGATTGAAACTATAACTTCTGCTCCAAGTGAAAATGCAAGGCACAAGCCATTCCTGCCGCAGGAATCATAACAAGAGTCCAGCCTTCACCCACCACGGTGGGCTCTGTCATAAAAGACGTCCAAGGAGAGTCCCCCTTACAACTGGGGTCCATACCCTTGGACATGTATAGCACCCTGCTGGAAAGCACCTTGGTTAGAACAAGCACTGCACAGGGTTGCATTATACAGGGCCCAGCGCCGTAAGGCTTCATTACAGGCAAACTTTGAGAATTCTTCTGTCTTATCCAAAGAGGCTCGGGTACCATCCATTCCTTGATTCACAGAAGAACCATTTCAGACCTCCAGGTATGCTCCAAGAGCACATGGAGTGCATCAGTGACATCCACCTTACAGACACTGGCAAAAAAACCTGAAGTATTTCCTGTGTAAGAGAGGTTATATAGGGGAGGACTTCCTGTTCGATTGACCTGCCAGTGTCCATTCACCTATAGGTGATGCATAACCATCATTATTATAGTCTACTCTATGTCCCATGATGTACGTAAGAAATTGAGTTTTCTTTATCACTTTAATTCCCCTCGGCACTGGAAACTGAGAAAATTGCTCATTGGCCATATTGAAAAAACTGTCTCTATAATTTTAAGGTTTTTGTTTAGATCAGAGTTCTTTAAAGCAAATCTAAAATTTTAAACTCTTAAAGTAGGACCGAAGGCAAAACGTTTTTTTTCTATTTTGGATAAAGCAAGTTGAGGGTTATAACCCCTTTCAATTATTTTCCCTTCTGTGGCCCATTGGGGAGATTTCCCTTCACTTCCTGTCCCAAAAGCAAGGGAATCCCTGGCTGTCACCAGAACTAGTGTCCTCATTGGAAGATTTGCCTTCTATTCCGGTTTTGGTGACAACCTAATATTTGGTTTTATTTCAATTTTATTAGCATGTTGATGAGGTTGGAACCCGGGGGAGCAGGGGCGGACGGACAACTCATGGGACCCCCCGGCAATAGGGGATCATGGAGCCCCTGTGTCCTTGCCCACACTCAAAGCACTCCCAAAAAAGCCTATAAAAGGTACCAGGGGTATTTCATGGGGCCCCCTACTAACCCTGGGCCCTCGGGCAGTGCCCAGTGCTCAAATGGTCAGTCCGCTCCTGCGGGGATGGCAAAATAGCAAATTACACTTTACCTTTAAATACATACCCGTGCCCTCCCTGAATCAGTCCTACCATTCAAATAAAATGAAAAATTGAGAAGTTTAAATTCTAAACTGCTGTACAAACCGAAAAGTTTTTCTGGGTTAGTTAAATGCACGAAAAGGGAGAAAAAAAAAAAAGTCCCCCACCCCCGACCCCCGCCACTCAACTTAATACGGCCCGGATTACCATAAACAGCGACGCCGGCGACATCAACCATGGGAATATATTCCGATTTTACTGCCGGTACGGATTCACGAGCGGTTTATGGACCATTATAATGGCTTGCTGAACCTTGCACTGACGGAACGGACTATTTGTGTTACATCCACAATGCGAACGGAAGGAAGAGAAAAAATCCACTCAGCAGATTTCTGCATACCAAAAACCTCCTTAAATATTCCCGGCCGCCCTCCCCCAAGCGCGGAAGCCGGTAATTCAAGGTCTGACTTTCCTGTTTGCCGTATAAAATCACGCGTTGGGTTGAGATACGGCACCGCTATAATGTTTTAATGAAAACTTAAAAAATCGTACACAAGAATCTGATAGATAAGCAGTCACACGTGTCTCTGGTGTATCTTTCGGCTGGGAAGAATGATAAGGGTAATTCTGCTTTTTATCTCCATTATAAATTCCCGTCTCTATTTTGAATGTATTAAAGTTCATTCTCTTCCGGCTGGATCAGAAGACTGTCATATTCTGGAAGACGAGAACCGGCCTCCGGGAAAGTTTAGGAAAGTCCTCAAAACTATGGCACCTGACATACTATATTTCCTTTTTTTTTTTTTTTTAGGTCCCTTCCCGCCCAGCACTGGCATCCCTTTAACTGGGTCTTTACACCCCCTTGGAAAGGACTGCCTGATCATCTGACCACCATGATTGGCTATCACAGTGGTCAGATCATTGGGAGCTGGTTCTCGGTCATTGTGTAACCCCAGTCATCTATGGACGTATATGTGCATACCTTCCCATCCAGCCCATGTGTCCCTTTAGCTAAGTACCTTCAACTGACCGTGAAGGACTGCCTTAATCGTGACCACTATAATTGGCTGTCGCAGTGGTCACATGACCAAAACCCGGTCTTCCATGACAGCTCGGCCATTGTGCAACCTAAGCTATCCATGGACGTACAGTATATGTGTGTCCTTCCCATTCAGCCAAGGCATTCCTTTAACTGAGCCCCTTAAACTGATTGGGAAGGACTCCCCAATCCTGTGAACACTGTGATTGGCTGTCGCCGTGTTGACATGATCGAGAGTCAGGCCTCTATGACAGCTCCGCCATTGCGCAACCTCAGCCGTCCTATAGACGTATACATGCGTCCCTACCCATCCAGCCCAGGTGTCCCTTTAACTGAGTGCCTTAAAGTTTCTTAAAGTGTTTCTAGAGACCAGGAGCTGCCTATGACAGCTTGGTCACTGTGCTGGAAGCGCACAATGAGTGCACCAGCCCTGGCATCCATCTTTAAATCTGAGAGGGGAGCCAGCTCCTGATCATTACTGGAGACTAGGAGCTGTCAGCACAGAAACCTCAGCTGTCCATGGACACAGAATCCACAGAAACCAGCTGTCTTTCCAGCTCCTGAGCTTGGAGAGCCATGCCCCTTCCACCTCTAGTCTTCAGGGATGCCCACTTCAGAACGTACCTTTTTTCTAGTTCTAGCAGGCACACCACTTAGGCCCATCATGGTGCTCATATATACAATCTTTCTGTACTTAGATACAAGATAAATAGCAGATTGTGATTATATTTAGGTGTAAAGCCAACTGAATTTAAAAAAAAAAACAGTATCATGGTCACATGATCGAGAGCTAGTCTTGTCGGCTTCCAATCATTACTAGAGACCAGGAGCTGCCTATGACGGCTTGGTCACTGTGCTGGGAGCGCGCAATGAGTGCACCAGCCCTGCTGGCTCCTGATCATAACTAGAGACTGGGAGCTTGGCCACTGGCCAGACGCTCTTAGCACAGAAACTTCAGCTTTTGATGGATGCATATGTGCGTCCTTTCCCACTCAGCCCAGGCGTCTCTTTAACAGGATCTTCACGCTCAAGGGATTGGGAAGGACTGCTGATTGTGTCACAGTGGTCACATGATCGGGAGCTGATCCCGCTGGCTCCTGATCAAAACTAGAGACCAGGAGCTTGGCCACTGGCCGGACGTTCTCAGAACAGAAACCTCAGCTGTTGGTGGATGCATATGGTGTCCATTCCCATTCAGCCCAGGCGTCTCTTTAACAGGATCTTCATGCTGAAGGGATTGGGAAGGACTGCTGATTGTGTCACAGAGGTCACATGATCGGGAGCTGATCCTGCTGATTCCTGATCATAACTAGAGACCGGGAGCTTGGCCACTGGCCAGATGATCTTAGCACAGAAACCTCAGATTTTGATGGATGCATATGTGCGTTCGTTCCCACTCAGCCCAGGCGTCTCTTTAACAGGATCTTTATGCTCAAGGGATCAAGAAGGACTGCTGATTGTGTCACAGTGGTCACATGATCAGGAGCTGATCCCGCTGGCTCCTGATCAAAACTAGAGACCAGGAGCTTGGCCACTGGCCGGACGTTCTCAGAACAGAAACCTCAGCTGTTGGTGGATGCATATGTGTGTCCATTCCCATTCAGCCCAGGCATCTCTTTAACAGGATCTTCATGCTCAAGGGATCGGGAAGGAATGCTGATTGTGTCACAGAGGTCACATGATCGGGAGCTGATCCCGCTGACTCCTGATCATAACTTGAGACTGGGAGCTTGGCCATTGGCCATACGTTCTCAGCACAGAAACCTCAGCTATCCATGGATTCGTATGTGCTTCCTCTTCCGTCCATCCCAGGCATTCCTTTAACTCGGTCTTTACACCCAGGGTTGTGGTGGGAGGGGCAGAAAGGTCTGTATAGAATCATCAGTTACCCATGGGTACATATTGCTTCCTCTCCCGTCCAGCCCAAGCGTCCCTTTATCTTTGTTTTTACACCCGGGGTTGTGGGGGGCAGGATGGTCTGTACAGAAGCCTCAGCTACCCATGGATGCATATGAGTGTCCCTTCTCATCCAGCCCAGGCATCCCTTGACATGTGGAGCTGAGGGGCGTAAAGGTCTGCTTGATCACATAACCACTGTGATTGGGTGTCACAGTGGTCACATGATCAGGAGCCGGTCCCACTGGCTCCCAATCATTACTACAGACAATGAACTGTCTAAGACAGCTCGGTCCCTCTGCTGGGAGCGTTACAATGAGCATGCTCTCACCACTGAACCCTTGCCCATCCATGGATGAATATGTGCATCCCTTCCCACTCAGCTCAGGTGTCTCTTTACCAGGGTCTTTAGGCCCAAGGGATCGGGAAGGACTGCCTGTGACATGATCAGGAGCTAATCCCGCTGGCTCCTGATCATATCTAGAGACCAGGAGCTCTCTATGACAGCTTTACCACAGGAAGCACGCTCCCAGCCGTCCATGGATACATATGTGCTTCCTCTCCCATCCAGCCCAGGTGTCCCTTTACTTAGGTCTTTACACCTCGAGATGGTAGGGGGTGAGGCCTAAAGTTCTGAAGGTCACGTGACCACTGTGATTGGGTGTCACAGTAATCACATGATCTGGATCCGGTCCCACTGGCTTCCAATTGTTACTAGAGACCAGGAACTGTCTATGACAGCTCAGTCCCTCTGCTGGGAGCACACAGTGAGCATGCTCTCAGCTCAGAAACCTTGCCCATCCATGGATGCATATGTGTACCCCTTCCTGCCCAGCTCAGGCATCCCTTTAACTGGCTCTTTTCACCTGGGGGGGGACTGGGGCTAGCTGACTGCCTGTTCACTTTGCTAGAGCTCACGGTGTGCAGTGAAACCAGAGAAGGCAATTCAGTCCGGAGAGGAGGCCGTACTATGACTGCCTGTTCAAGACTGAGGGGACAGTGTGCAGTACACCTGTGCAAGACTGGGAAGGGAGAGAAGCTGGTACACCTGTGCAAGACTGAAGGGGAGGAGCCGGTACACCTGTGCAAGACTGAAAGGGAGAAGCCGGTACACCTGTGCAAGACTGAAGGGGAGGAGCCGGTACACCTGTGCAAGACTGAAGGGGAGGAGCAGGTACACCTGTGCAAGACTGAAGGGGAGAAGCCGGTACACCTGTGCAAGACTGAAGGGGAGGAGCCGGTACACCCTGTGCAAGACTGAAGGGGGGAGCTGGTACACCTGTGCAAGACTGAAGGGGAGGAGCCTGTACACCTGTGCAAGACTGAAGGGGAGGAGCCGGTACACCCTGTGCAAGACTGAAGGGGAGGAGACGGTACACCTGTGCAAGACTGAAGGGGAGGAGCCGGTACACCTGTGCAAGACTGAAGGGGAGGGAGAGCCTGTACACCTGTGCAAGACTGAATGGGAGGAGCCGATACACCTGTGCAAGACTAAAGGGGAGGAGCCGGTACACCTGTGCAAGACTGAAGGGAAGGTCCACTTTAAGAGAGTGTCAGTACCCCACGCTACATGTAAACTGCGCCCCCTGCTGCTAGAAAAGTACATAAACATGGTAATGAGACAGATTTATTGATTTCAACCTTTTCCTATTCCGATGAAGCAACTCCCCATTTTTCTATTAGCAAAAAAATTTCCTGCACTTAGTCTCAGCACTACATGCAGCGTGTGATCAGGACTGCTGCAATTATAGGCATTCAGCGCACCGTGATGGGTAAATTACAGGTTAAATCGGAGGGAATCGGATTTTTATGGCAGGGAGCGGGTCATCCGCACAACGCAGCGATGGTCAATAGGCCGCTATTGATGAAAACGGCATTAAGAGGGTTCTCTGTCAATAGACACGCTGCTATGTAAATGAAAATAAATTAGTACTTGTCTGATGTGTCTCTATAAAATAACATTTTGCTAATTAATGACATCTATCAAATCAACAAGGTTGCTGCAAATCCAAACCTAAAACAATTAATAGAATGGGCCGGCGGCAGCGCTGACCGCTCCTGACAATGGCGGCTCATGGGGATATGTACTAAAAATTTATTTAGGTACTACTTTGATCCAGCAGTGATTGGATGATGCTCCTTTTTTGAAGGAATTGCTTCATTGCATTAAAGTGTTCCTAAACCCTGGACCCTGCATTCACTATATCCGCTCTCCCGGACCCTGCATTCACTATATCCGCTCTCCCCGACCCTGCATTCACTATATCCGCTCTCCCCGGACCCGCATTCACTATATCCGCTCTCCCCGGACCCCGCATTCACTATATCCGCTCTCCCCGGACCCCGCATTCACTATATCTGGTCTCCCCGGACCCCGCATTCACTATATCCACTCTCCCCGGACCTGCATTCACTATATCTCCTCTCCCCGGAACTTGCATTCACTATATCTGCTCGAACTTGCATTCACTATATCCACTCTCCCGGACTCTGCATTCACTATATCTGCTCTCCCCCGGAACTTGCATTCACTATATCCTCTCTCCCCGGACCCTGCATTCACTATATCTGCTCTCCCCGGAACTTGCATTCACTATATCCGCTCCCCCCGGACCCCGCATTCACTATATCCGTCTCCCCGGACCCCGCATTCACTATATCCACTCTCCCCGGACCCCGCATTCACTATATCCGCTCTCCCCGGACCCTGCATTCATTATATCCACTCTCCCCGGACCCCGCATTCACTATATCCGCTCTCCCCAGACCCTGCATTCGCTATATCCGCTCTCCCCAGACCCTGCATTCACTATATCCGCTCTCCCCAGACCCTGTATTCGCTATATCCGCTCTCCCCAGACCCTGCATTCACTATATCTTCTCCCTGACCCTGCATTCACTATATTTGGCCTCCCCATACCCCGAATCCACTATATCTGGTCTCCCCGGACCCCGCATTCACTATATCCGCTCTCCCCGGACCCTGCATTCAGTATATCCACTCTCCCCGGGACCCCGCATTCACTATATCCGCTCTCCCCGGACCCAGCATTCACTATATCCGCTCTCCCCGGACCTGCATTCACTATATCCCTCTCCCCGGACCCTGCATTCACTATATCCGCTCTCCCTGGACCCTGCATTCACTATATCCGCTCTCCCCGGACCTGCATTCACTATATCCGCTCTCCCCAGGACCCCGCATTCACTATATCTGCTCTCCCCGGAACCTGCATTCACTATATCCACTCTCCCCGGACTCTGCATTCACTATATCTGCTCTCCCCAGACCCTGCATTCACTATATCCTCTCCCCCGGAACTTGCATTCACTATATCCGCTCTCCCCAGACCCTGCATTCACTATATCTGGTCTCCCCGGACCCCGCATTCACTATATCCGCTCTCCCCGGACCCCGCATTCACTATATCCGCTCTCCCCAGACCCTGCATTCACTATATCCGCTCTCCCCAGACCCTGCATTCACTATATCCGCTCTCCCCCCAGACCCTGTATTTCACTATATCCGCTTCTCCCCAGACCCTGCATTCACTATATCTGGTCTCCCCGGACCCTGCATTCACTATATCCCTCTCCCAACACCCCGCATTCACTATATCCGCTCTCCCCCAGGACCCTGCATTCGCTATATCCGCTCTCCCCAGACCCTGCATTCACTATATCTGGTCTCCCCCGGACCCTGCATTCACTATATCCACTCTCCCCGGACCCCGCATTCACTATATCCACTCTCCCCGGACCCTGCATTCACTATATCCGCTCTCCCCCGGACCCAGCATTCACTATATCCGCTCTCCCCGGACCTGCATTCACTATATCCGCTCTCCCCCGGACCCTGCATTCACTATATCTGGTCTCCCCGGACCCTGCATTCACTATATCCGCTCTCCCCGGACCCTGCATTCACTATATCCGCTCTCCCCAGACCCCGCATTCACTATATTTGGCCTCCCCAGACCCTGCATTCACTATATCCGCTCTCCTTGGACCCTGCATTCACTATATCCGCTCTCCTTGGACCCCGCATTCACTATATCCGCTCTACTTGGACCCTGCATTCACTATATCCGCTCTCCCCGGACCCCGCATTCACTATATCCGTTCTCCCCGGACCCTGCATTCACTATATTTGGTCTCCCCGGACCCCGCATTCACTATATCCGCTCTCCCCTGGACCCCGCATTTACTATATCAGCTCTCCCCGGACCCCGCATCCACTATATCTGCTCTCCCCTGACCCTGCATTTAGTATATCTGGTCTCCCCGGACCCTGCATTCATATATCTGGTCTCCCCGGACCCTGCATTCACTATATCTGGTCTCCCCGGACCCTGCATTCACTATATCTAGTGTCCCTGGACCTCGCATTCACTCTATCCGGTATCCCACAGTACACAGAACATGGAAATGCAATTATTTTAGTAAATATAAATTGCTAAATGCCTTTTCCCATCAGCAGTATATAGCAGTCTTGTGACTTCTATCAGTGTCCAGCAGAGTACTGGTTAAAGCTTGTAGGAGGAGTTTTCATTCTTCCCATATTGTCCTATGAGGCTGCAGGACCCCCATAATATGGTATAATTTTGGAAGATACGTTTTCAATAAACACGTTTTATACATTAATATGTTGTTGTCCACTTTCTGTACCAGTTAAGTCCCATTTTGGTTTTTATGGCTCTTTATGTGATCTCACTTTGCACATCTCAAAAGAAACCCTAAAACATAGAACGGGGGGGGGGGGGGCAAAGGGGACAAAAGACCCTGGTGCAATAATTTACTGGAGGTGGAGGAGGGATCACAGGCGAAGTGCAGTAAGCAGAGCAGGGGCGGACTGACCATTCGTGTACTCGGGCACTGCCCGAGGGCCCCGGGTCAGAAGGGGGCCCCATGAGATGCCCCTGGTACCTTTCATAGGCTTTTTTGGGTGTGGTTTGAGTGTGGGCGAGGACACAGAGGCCCCATGAGTTGTCAATCCGCCCCTGGAGCAGAGTGTGTTGGCTAAAGTTTGCTGGCTGAAGATGCACACAGTTCACTTGCAGAGCTCCAGAGGGTGCCGAGTGCGCACTGATCCTCGCCCTACAGCAGATTACACGACACATTGAGAGTGGGGTGGTAGAATGCTGTCCTGGGGGGGAGTGGGAGGAGCTGAGTGTATTGGGTGGAAGTGGGAGGAGTTGAGTGTACTGGGGGGAAGTGGGAGGAGCTAAGTTTACTGGGAGAAGTGGGAGGAGCTTAGTGTACTGGGGGAGTGGGAGGAGCTGAGTTTACTGGGGGAAGTGGTAGGAGCTGAGTGTACTGGGGAAGTGGGAGGAGATGAGGGTATTGGGGGAAGTGGGAGGAGCTGAGTGTACTGGGGGAGAGTGGGAGGAGCTGAGTGTACTGGGGGTGGGATGAGGGGGGAACTCTGTGTCCTGGGGGGTGAAAGGAGAGAAAACAGGGTCCTGGAGGGCAAAGGGGTGTGAAAGCTCAGTTCTGGGGGGCTGGGGGGGGAGCTCTGCCCCTGGGAACAGGAGGAGGGGGGAGCTTAATGCACTGGGGGAAGGGGGAGCTCTGTGTAATGGGGGGCCTAGGGGTGGAGGAGCGCTATAGTGAGCAGTTGAAGAAAGAGGGAGCTAGGGGGTTGGGGGATCAGGAGGACTGGGGAGCTCTATGTACTGGGGGGAGGAAGTGGGAGCTCTGTAATGGGGGGACTAAGGGTGGGGGAGCTGTATGTACTGTGGCGGTGGGGGGGGGGGAGTTATGTGTAATGGGGGAACTAGGGGTGGGGGAGCTCTATAGTGAGTGGTGGTGGGAAAGAGGGAATTAGGGGGTTGGAGGACCAGGAGTGGGGAGCTCTATGTACTGGGGGGGAGGGGAGCTCTGTGTAATGGGGGAACTAGGGGTGCTCTATAGTGAGTGGTTGGAGAAAGAGGCAGCTAGGGGGTTTGGGCAGCAGGAGGAGTGGGGAGCTCTATGTACTGGGGGAGGGTGGTGGGAAGGGGGAGATCTGTGTAATGGGGGACTTTCAGTTACACCATCGATCCAGGGACATTTATTTCCTTTGCCACATGTTTTTGTACTAATGTTGAAACTTTTCAGTGGTACTATTTGATTGCATGCCACAAAAATAAACAAACGTTTTGCCGCTCTCCGCTAGGACCCAAGGAGGGGAGGCGGGGGGGCGCAGCTTCCAATCTTCGCCCAGGGAGCGGGTTGACCTGGCAGTGCATATCAGTGATAAAACAGACCATTCACTTAGAAAGATCAGTGTACTGCTGTTTCCCTACCTCTTGCTGACACATACCCCTACAGTCCCACCCCCCCCCCCCCGCCCCACACTTCTCCAAGCTCATTATGCAGCTGAGAACAGAAAAAACAGAGAAAAAAAAAAGGTATTTAGATGTAACTACCCCGCTACTTCTCTGTGTTCATGTTCCATGGTATTGTACTGACCCAGCAG